TGCTTCTTTGTGTGGACTGTGATGGTCTGTTGTCTCCGAGACATTGTGGCATTGTTGTATTTAGATCTCTGTTTGTGAAGAGTAGCCAAGGGTGATTCAGACTCTTGGTGGTTTTTTATCGTTGGCCTGTTGGTGGAGAAGGAGGTGTTGGCTCTCGCTCAGTAAGTGAAATTGCAGTAGGTGTGGGTGTAGTTGTGTCTTATGGGGACTGTTGCTGTTTCCCACTCAGTTAGACACAAATTACAATTGACTAACCATCAAAAAACTAAAAGCACATGGACAAAAAATATACCATGTAATCACACAGGAACAGTAATGAAAAAAAGAAAAAAGGGAAAAAGAAGAAGAAAAAATAAGAAATCCTGCAATATCTGGGGATAGGGCCCTAAGAGAAAAAAAGGTAGAGAAGGAGAATAATGAAGAAAAAAATGGGAAAAATGTAAAAGGAAAAACAAGGAACAGGGTTAACCATGAGGAAAAAAGGGAGAAAATAAATTAATTAAAAAATATATGTATTTGCAACCAGGAACAGGGAAAAGAAAAAAAGCTGAAAACTAGGACCTCAGAGTGGAAGAATAAAGAATAATAGTAAAAAGGACAAAAGTATTATTAATAATAGTAGTTTTTAAACAGACAAATACAAGCAAACTAAACACCAGAAAAAAGAAAGAGAAAAGGAAAAAGAATAGAAAAAAAAAATTGGGGGAGGACAGGGCAGGGCACCCAGGCTCCATCTGAGCTCACAGGCTGGGATGGAGTTTCTGTGGCCCCAGAAGGTGGGTGGAAGTGGAAGATGGCTGTACCTCTGTTCACCAAGCGGGTGTTGGGTGTAAGAGTAACAAGGGGAATGTCGTACCTTTTCAGTCGTGCAGGTCTGGAGTGCCCTTGGGGTTACTGGGCAGCAGAACCTGTTCTTAAGTCCCTGGAATCTGGGAGAGTTCTGTCTCTTTAAACATCCAAAATGGTCAAGCTGCTAGTAAACATTCAAAATGGTAGCACCCTCTGGACAGGCAAAAATCCACAGCTCAGCCCGCCTTCCTCTTTGTTGCTGCTTCGCCTTTTATTCTCCAGCCACCAGAGCAGTTCTCCGTGCAGTCCCTGGTTAGCAGGGCTGATTTTTAGGTTAATTTGTAGGTTTTACTACCACTTGGCAATCCCCAAGCTGTCTGTGCCGTCAGGATCGCTGCCAGACTGCAGCTCTGTATGTCTCCTTCTTTGGTATTTTCATGCAAATTCTTCTGCTAGTTGGGGTTTAGTCCACTTCTATATCCTTCCGTCAAGGCTCAGGGGTCCAGGATTCTCTTCTATGTCTATGTTAATTGGTTCCCCTTTTCTTTGTTGAAGAGGGTCTGTGCAGTCTTTTTGCCTATTCCGCCATCTTGGAATCTCTCTCGTTATTTTCAGTCTTGTTGAACTTTGCTTTTATTGCTTAGGGGAGATGATATCTCGTTGTTTTAATTTGCATCTCTCTAATGGCTAATGATTGTGAGCATTTCCTTGTGTGTTTGTTGGTTGCCAGCCTACCTTCTTTAGTGAATTCTGTTTATGTCCCTTGCCCATTTTTGAATTGGTTTGTCTTTTTGGTGTTGAGGTGTTGAAGTTTTTATAAATTTTGGAGGTAAGTTCTTTGTCAGATATGTCATAGCCAAATATTTTTTCCCAATCTATAGGTTCTCTTTTTACCCTTTTGGAGTCTTTCGATGTGCATAAGAATTTAATTTTTAAAAGGTCCCAGTCATCTAGCTTCTCTTCCATTGCTGGTGCAGTTGAGAAAGCAGGTTGGTTTTTAATTGCTTATACAAAGCCATCGAGTTCATGTACGCATTCCTTTTTCTCCCTTGAGGGACATATAGTGGGCTGTATATGATTATTGGCTAGGAGTCCAGTTTTTTTGGTATATGATAGAATGCTTATTGAACTTAATATTTCAAATACGGGAGCTCTGGTAGCATAGTGGCTAAGACACTTGCCTGCTAACCAGACGGCTGGCGGTTCAAACCCACCAGCCACTCCTTGGAAGGAAGGTTGGGCAATCCTACTTCCGTAGTGATACTGCTTTGGAAACCCAAGGAGGGGTCGCTATGAGTCGGGGCTGATTCGACGGCACATAACAACAACAACAACAACATTTCAAATACACTGATAACAAAAATAAATGCAGTTGTTTGGTGAATACAATTCACATGCTGTGGACTACCAACACTGTCTGTCAATTATTAACATTCAGACTTTGATAATATGGTAAATAATAATGATGTCTAACAAACTATATGAAATTCATGAAAACAATATATTTATGAAAAATTATCTCTTAGGAGAATTTCCATTGTACACAGAAGTAGACAGAACAGTTCAATAAACCCCTAGTACTCATTTCCTAGCCCCGACAACCTTAAACCCATAGTCCTGTCCATTCAAATATTCAATCTACTTCCTCCTCCTGTATTATTTTAAAGCAAATATCAGATATAATTTCATACTTAAATATTTTACTGTCTTTTCTAAAAGATACGAATCTTTTCCCCACTTTTGAAAAACATAAGCATAATATCACTTTCCCAAACATAATTCCTTTATATCATCTGGTGTTCATATTTCCAATTGTCCTTTTTTACTTTTATTTTTTAATGAATTAGGATCCAAATAAGGTCCATACATAATGATTGGATGATGTCTTTAGTCTCTTTTTATCTGTAGTTCCCTTGCTCCTATCTTTCTCCCCTTGTGCCCCATTATTTGTTGATGAAATTGGGTCAACTTTCTGATAGTTTCCAATAGCTTAAATTTTAATGACTACTCCTCTGTCCCCTTTATTTCCTGCAAATTGGTAGTTGTAAGCTTAAACAGATTCAGGTTATTCCTTTTGTTTTATTTTTGACAAGGCTATGTCATGAAGGCTGTACTGTTATTTTATCCAGAGGCACATGATGCCAGTTGTCTGTCTTTTAGTGATATTAGCAACCAGTGAAGTTCAATGTTAGATCCATTGGTTAATTAAGTATTACAGAATGGTGATATTCTACTTCTGTCATTCCTTCTCCATTTATTGGCTAGAAAACTTCTGTAAAGAGAAATTCCTTTCATCTATTTAGTTATCTTTTTGTATAGTTCTTACAGGAAAGGCAGGATAAATGCTTGATTTCCCACCTGCCCCTTTTAAACCAGTTTTCAAAATAATGAATTACTTCACTAACATCCTTTACAGTGACCAATTACTTTATCATTATGAATTCATGGATTTAAACATCTTTGATGTGTTTTAATCTTCTATTCTCTTTTTATATACACTCTAGTAGATTATTCTGTGTGTCAATATTTAGCCACTAGAATTCACTTCAAATTGGCTTTGAGGACCTTTTGACATGAGCCTAGTGATTTTCTTCTGTGCAGTTATGTCACCAACTAGATATATTGTTCATTCATTTAATTTTTTACATTTAGGGATTGCCTTTTAAATTTTAGTGTTTACTAAAGTATTTCCCAAGTTCTAACAACAAATATTTCAAGTGTACAAAACAAGGTAAATTCAAAGAAGTCTAGCTTTTCTCCATGTCTGTTCTACCAGTTTCCTCCCTCTCCTTATATGATCTCAACTTATAGTGATCCCTCTTTGGGTTTCCCAGGCAATATCTCAGTTTATTCTAACATTGCTTCTTAAAATATAAGCAGACAGGTATATACATTTGTGTTCCTCCTTTAAATAATGACAGCCTACTATATGTACTCTTTTTTCCATCTTAACACTATACCCTGAAGAATATTCCATAGCAGCTTATAGAAATAGTTTACATTCCAATTTATAGGCAGCATAATAACTTTATTTGTGGATGCACCATTCAGCCAGTCCTCAATTGATGGACATATGAGTTTCTAGTCTTTCACTATTATAGATAATCCATTGATAGTCACCATGTCTTTTTACATTTTGTTCTTCTATTATGTGATAGAATCCTATAATAGAATTTGATGAGTATAAGAATAATATATATGTAACTAGGAGCTCTGGTAGCATAGTGCCTAAGGCACTTGACTGCTAACCTGAAGGCTGGTGGTTCAAACCTACCAGCCACTCCTCGGAAGGAAGGTTGGGCAATCTACTTCTGTGGTGATAATGCCTTGGCAACCCAAGGAGGGATCGCTATGAGTCGGGTCCAACTCGACGGCACATAACAACAACAACAACAATATATGTAACTGAGCTAGGTAATAATATAAATTGGTTGTAACTTTTTGCATTTCCACTTGCCCTGTGTATAACAGTATTCTTTTCTCCAACAGAAAACATCAAGCTTTTCCATTTTGCCAAGATACTTTTGTGGAAAAGTATCTCAGTGTAATTTTAGTATGCATTTCTCTTACCATATGTAGAACATATATTTGGCTTAATTTTCCTTTCAGTTATAGTTCACTAAATAGTACTAATTTGGGTTTTTTCTTTTTTGAAAAGAATGTAAGTGTGGGAGATAAAGTTCTTTATGGTCTCTATGGAGTAGTGGAACACAGTGGCTCAATGAGAGGAGGCCACTACACTGCTTATGTGAAAGTGAGAATGCCCTCTGAGAACTTACTGGAACATATCACCAGAAAGAAAAATGTACCTGGTATGCCATCCTGTTTATTTTATTCATTAAAGCAAATGAAATTATTTTCCTTTTCTGCAAGAAAGAAATTACATGAATACCTCAAATGGATTCACTTTATGTTAAATGGGAATAATGTCTAAGAGTGCCTAGATAATCTTAAATATTGTAAGGCTATACTAGTTAATTTGAAATGATACCCAGGTTTTTCAGGGTTTCAGTCATTGTGTATTACAGTAGAGCTGTACTTTATTTAATGATACCAAAAATTTTTGAAGATGTACCATGTCCTCAGAATAGAGTTGGAGTTGAAAATTTGTTGATTTTGCTTATGGATCAGTGAATAAATACTGTTTTCTTTTTCTTCTAGTGAAAAAATTTTTTTTTCCCCTGAGCAAATAACTATTTTCAGAGCTACTTAATATTTCATCAGATATTTAAAATAAAGTATTCCTAATTTGGGAATAACTATTTATTATCTCAAAGACCTCTGGTGGTGGTGTGCCTAAGGCATTTGACTGCTAACCAGAAAGTTGGTGGTTCAAACCCACCAACCACTCCGCAGAAGGAAGACTGGGCAATCCTACTGCTGTAAAGATTTACTGCCCAAAGCAGATCTCTGAGTTAGAATTGACTCGATGGTAGTGAGTTTGGTTTTTTATTTATTATCTCTGTAATATTCATGCCTTGAAAGAGTTAGTTCACTTTGGAAGAAACAGACTTATATAAGAAAGATCTTGCTTAGGTAAATGTAGTTTGTCATGAATGTGGTGCTGTTTATAATTTAGAGTAAGAACATAAAACATTTTACATTTTTTTTTTTGTTAGGTTTGAAAGAATCTGAGAGTGAATCGACAGGACAGTGGGTCCATGTTAGTGACACTTACGTGCAGGTGGTTCCAGAATCGAGAGCACTTAGTGCACAAGCTTACCTTCTTTTTTATGAAAGAATATTTTAATTACCTGTGTATCATTAATGGTAATGATTATTTAGATCACTTTTATTTAAATGCTGCAATAATAACTATAACATGTAATGTGCCTTTGTAGTTGTCTCTCTTCTATAGGAATAGCATGTCTCTCAACTATTCCTAAACTTTTTCACCTTTTTGGTGAGTCCTTTTACAGCAAATTAAATTTATTTAAATTTTGTATTATTAAATATAAAAACGTGTTTGTTTGTTTTTTTAAATATGTATCCTAGAATAAAATCAGTTTATAGTAGTATGGGCAACCACTTTATGGCTCATTGTAAAAAGGATTTGTAAATAATGCTGGCTAAATCAAATCATCCCTTAAAACAGTGTTTCCTGAATGTAAATCACATACCACCTTCCTCATTTCATAAGAGTGTGGGTGTATCCTTTGCTATTGTTATTTATTTTATTTTTTTGTGGTAAAAATATATGTAACAGTTATATTTTTAACCTTATTTATTTTAGCCTTAGCCTTATTTTGAATAATAATATTTCATGTTTTAGGTGTTAGTTGTATTTTTTCTGCTGAAATTTAAAATAAATATATAACTACTAGAGAAAAATTGCTCATTCATATGCCACTTAATATCATCTCAGGGATATCTGGGGGTATATGTGGTTGCTGTTTGGGAAGCACTGCCATAGCACATCATTACATGAAGTAATGCCTAATATGATATGGTTACCTTATATTGTATATGGTGCAGCCATATATAAAGGCACCACTGTAATTTCAGTATTACGGGTTTACAATCAATATATGATTAGCTTTTTGCTTATTGATACCTAAGCTTTTTGCTTATTGAGAACTAGAAAATATTGAAATACTTTATCAATATATCACCTGTAACATGCCTATTCATGATAGAGTTAAGAGTAATTTGAAAGTGGTTAGCCAAAGTAAAAATATAATTATAACATGCAGAACTGGTCAATAGAAGTTGCTTATCCATATGGGACCATATAGTACCTTTGAAATATAATTACCAAATCATACTTGTAAATTTTAGAGAATTCTTACTATACTTAACAGGAAAATATACTACATTTTCTAGTTCTGTAATTCAGTAAATGTTAAACATGATTTTGACATTTTGAGATCACTTTTTGCCCTTAACAAACATCATTAGTAAGTTTAAGTGGATTTAGCTTTTATTTAAATAGGGCACGAAGTTGGCATTTCTGATTTTCTTTTAAAATAAATAATAGTAAATAAACCATAGCTTCCCCTAGAATACAAATGATTAAGTTGTCAAAACTTGGTATGAAAAATACTAGTATTACTTAGGCTTCAATTTTAAAAAGTAATGGCTATTTTAGTGTCACATTATTGAACCAAAACACATAACTAACTGCATGGCTTAAGCATCGTAATCATTAGTACCAATGAATGATACAACAGGAAAATTCTGGGTATGCCTAATCCCAGCTCATTTTGCTCTTAGGATTATAAGAATAGTAGCTATAGATAACCAGCACTGCCTTTTGACATATGGGTGAATGATAATTGTGTTAAAGATGATAATAGTAATGGTATACAAAATGCAGAGCTTAAAAATGTACATTGCATAAATTCTATTGTTAAGCTTTTGTAATTTTAATAGTAGTGTTTTTCTTGATTTTTAATAGTGAAATGATGGAGAAATATCTTTGAGTTAACGTTATGTGTAGTTAAGTTGTGCCCTGTAAAAGGTAGTTCAGTGTTTTCTGTTTAATTGTAATCATTAACATTGAAGATTCAGTACCAGATAGTGAATTAAAAAAAAAAAGCTAAACCTCTTGATTGAAGTCAGCCATCTTGATAATGCCAATTGGCATTCTTTTTTTCCCCCAAGAATGTAAATAATGAGTCACCTGAGATTTTTCTCCTAGAGAAGTTATTATGAAGCATATACTTTTCATTGGGTAGTTAGTTATCTGCTTCTCGTTTCTTAGAAAGGGGGAAAGTAATAATAAAAGAAACCAGAGGGTACTTTTCTGTTGCCTCTTGGCTCACCCTTGTACACTTGAAGTTGGAGATGGTGAGTGAGCAAGAGCAAGAATCAAGGAAAGTGCATAGTTCCTTTTTCCACTTGTAGGATACTGAGAAATGCACCAGACACACATTTTTTTATAAAGTAGGAAATCTTTTAAGCTTTTCTCTGAATACCAACTAATACTACCTAATTTTTAATAGTGATTGAAATACTGTAGGTTCATACCATTATCTTAGTACTCAGTATTACAATAGTTTTTATGCTAACTTGACATTTATTCTTCCTGCATATACTTATTGAACACCTGCTATGGGTCAGGGACTGACCTGACACTATTGTAACATGTTTTAAAATGGAAAGACCTATATAGGTTTTAGACATTATTCTAGAAGTAACATGCAAATAATATACTTTTATTTTCATTGCTCTAGTGTTAAATAAGCTAATTCTGAAATTTTTTTTAATGGTCTAGTGTTTATGAATACTTTCCACGATCTTCTGGAAATGGAATAAACTTGATTTTGATGTCTAAGAATTTCTTAAAGACAGCTTTTGTAATAGGAAAAGTGTGTTGAGTTACACATGAATCTGTGTTTAAAAATTGTTACTTTAAATATTCTCAAAGCACATCTGCAGAGATATTAAATTGTGAGACTACTGCAATGACAGTAGTTTTCTGACAACCTCAGGAAAAATACAAATAAATAAGAATGTTTACAGATCCTCAACACAACTACCATAGTGTTTGGCTGAATGAATTTAAGAACTAAGAGAGACACGTTTCACTAGCTTTATTTAGAAACTGGTTTATAGGATATGTCTAACCCCAGTTTTCTCCCCTATAAAAATGATAAAGTTTTAATTGTGCCAATTATGTGAATATTTTTGAGACAACTAAATATATGTCTGTACTTAAGATTTTGCCATTTAATGGCAAAATAATGTTTTAAAAAATGAAATGAAGACCATCTTTTTAGATGGCCAAGGAGAGTGGTAGTGGGTATCAATTGAAAGAGTAGTTAATACCTGTTCTTTTATTTAAAATGTGCCAACAGAACTATTTAACTGTACTATATTTAATAGCTTTTAGCTCACATGTGCGATTTTTAATCAGTGATTTTATACACTAGCTGAATAAAATTTCCTGAAGATTAAGCTGTGAAATACATCAACCCTCATCTAATTTTATAGTACAAAACAATATTCTGTCCTATTTTTCTTAAATTTATATTCATAATTTATTTTTCTGCATATCTGACCAAATAAACCCAAGTCAAATATATGTTATGTGCAATAAAACTAAGCCTTTAGATAGTATCTGGTGCATTATTAGGAAAGACTATTTTTAGCTATTTAAAATGGTTTAGTTCATGAGAAATCATCAATGCAAATTTATTTAAAAAGATATTAACTTATATTTTAAATTTTGAGTAACATGATTATAATGTCATACCTATTCTTTCATCTTTAAATTTTTGTAGTGTTTTTAGAAAATAGCGGTGTAGCTTATTAAGCATTTTGTTACTGTGTAAACATGCATAATAAACATTAAATTGTTATGTACCTTATATTTTAAGATTTGTCCTGTAGTTTTTGCAATACATATTGACAGACTATTTTATCTGTCAACATGGTACTCATTTACTTAGCTACATTCAAAATATCTTTCATATTTTAGAAATTAATTATCTCAGAACAATAACTCATTATAGGCTACCTTCATCTAGACTTGACTATCCACCAGAATGTGAGCCTTCATCCTTTGAGATGTTTTTTAAAATGTTTGAGTTATTTAGATGGGATAATTAATTAGAAAATATTTTGTCTACCTGTTTATTTGTATTTAACCTTTTTTTGTGGGTACTGTGGAGCTCTTTGATACTACGTTGAATGTAACAGACCATCTTTCATTTGTTCATTTATATTAAATATATATTGAGCACCTATTATGTGGTAGTCACTGGAGATACATCAGTGAACACAAGAGATAGAAATCACTCTAAGAAGTAAGGAGATAGACAGTCTAAGAAGTAAAGAATAAGGAAAAGCAGGCCAGATAGTATACAATATGGAGAAAAATTAAGCCACATTGCCCAAAGAGCTATATGTGAATTAAAATCCAAGGGATGAGGGATATCCTAGGAATAAAAGGTATTCCAACTCATAGCGACCCCTCCTTAGGTTGCCGAGGCAGTATCACTACGGAAGTAGATTGCCCAACCCTCCTTCTGAGGAGTGACTGGTAGGTTTGAAGCGCCAGCCTTCTGGTTCACAGTCAAATGCCTCAGGCAGTATGCCACCAGAGCTCTGTATAGTGATATTACTCCTAATAATCCCAAAGAGGAAGCTATGAATATTGGAGAAGAGTGGGTTTTGACTCTGGGTGCCCTGCATTACTCCTGCTAATGGCAAGATAGAGGTAAGAACTAATTCACAAGGTCCTCCCTGCCTTCAAGGGAGCTTAGAAATGCAGTCTTCTGTGTACACGGAGACTGTGGAAAATTAGATATTGATGAACACTAATGACTACACCTTGTACAAAGGAATTAAGCACAGAAACAGTATGCTGAATCACAAAAGATTTTAGGTAAGAATATGCCAGTGAGAGAACATAGTAAGGTTCCCCTTACTTTGTCTAGTCTGGCCTGAGAATGCAATATGGTCAATTATTATGAAGTAATTGAAGTAATTATTTTGTATCCTCTTCATGGAAGTTCCTGGGTGATTGACATGCACATGGTTAATATATATATATAACTTTCAAGTTGATTCCGACTCATAGTGACTCCTCCTTGAGTTTCCGAAGTGGTACCTCTATGGAAGATTGCCCAGTTTTCCTTCCGAGGAGTGAGGAGTGACTGGTGAGTTTGAACTGCCAGCCTTCTGGTAAGCAGTCAAATGCCTTAGGCACTATACCAACCTATGCATGGTTGGCTGCAAACTTAATGGCTGGGGGTTGGAGTCCACCCAGAGGTACCTGAGTAGAAAGGCCAGGTACTACTTCCAAAAAATCAGCCATTCACAACGCTTTGGAGCACAGTTCTACTCTGACATCTGTGAGCTCATCATGAGTCAGAATCAATTCAGTGGTAACTGATACTGACACTTTATTATACCAGATGTTCTCACTACTTTGTAGATGCTTAAATAATCATACCACTTAAGAATTAAAAGAGTTGTAATTTATAATAATTATAGCATTTTAGCTTTAAACAATTTTCTTAAAGTTTGAGATGGCTGTAATATGGAATTTACCAACACCGTGAAGGTTAAAATTTCAAGAAGCAGGACAAAAACAAAACAAAACAAAAAAAAACCTCACTTCCATTGAGTTGGATCCGACTCAGTGACCCCTCCTTGGGTTTCTGAGGCAGTATCGCTACGGAAGTAGATTGCCCAACCTTCCTTCTGAGGAGTGGTTGGTGGGTTTGAACTGCCAGCCTTCTGGTTCACAGTCAAATGCCTTAAGCACTTAAGGTCTTAAGCTTCTTAAGACCTCCTCAAGAAGTAGGAATACTTGTTAATTTCTGTATATTTTCCACATCTCATTTAGCTTTTTTTCATTTTACCTTGAGGATGTTTTTTTCCATAACAATACAAGGCACTAATTTAAGAAAAGGAGCTCTGGTGGTGTAGTATCTAAGGCACTTGACTGCTAACCAGAAGGCTGGCGGTTCAATCCCACTATCCGCTCCTTGGAAGGAAGATTGAGCAATCTACTTCCATAGTGATACTGCCTTGGAAACCCAAGGAGTCACTATGAGTCAACCAACTCCACGGCAGTGAGTTTGGTTTGGAACTTAAGACATTTCTTTCCTCTAGAATTATTTACTTTAAACACTCTGTAGAAGTAGTCAATAAAATAGTTAAAAAATCAGTGTTAGTCATAAACAGCAGATTGCCAACTAAGACTAGCAAGATAGTAGCTGCTCCAGCACTTGTTCATCAGGGTGTAGAATGATAGACTGTGGTAGTTCAGGCAGATCACAGCTCTTCAGACAGTGTGGAAGGCACTCTAACACAAAAACATTCTGAGAAAATTTAGTGTTGAAAGCCTTATACTTGCTTTATATTTCCTTAAGATCATAGCTTTACAGGGAAATCACAGAAAATCGTGGTGAGGAAGAGGAAAATGTGACTGTAAAACCCATTTTCTGGTCTGGGAAACAGTGATTGCTAGAGTGTCTCATTAAAGTATCACAAGAAGCAAAACATGAGGTATTTAAGCGCCTCTCTCCATTTGACATTTGGAGCTCTGGTAGCATAGTGGCTAAGGCACTTGACTGCTAACCAGAAGGCTGGCGGTTCAAACCCACCAGCCACTCCTCGGAAGGAAGGTTGGGCAATCCTACTTCTGTAGTGATACTGCCTCTGCAACCCAAGGAGGGGTCACTACGAGTCGGGTCCGACTCGACAGCACATAACAACAACATACTGGGATTATTGTTGCTCAGATATTGACTATTGCTCTGAACATTTTACTGTGATTTGGATGAAAGTTTACACAGCAACTAAATTTCCCGTTCAACAATTTATACACATTAGTTTCATGACATGAGTTGCAACTCTACTTTCCATGTCCTGCCTGGGTTCTTGGTTTCCATTTGCTCATCTTTCCTGCCCTCTGGACTTTGTTTTTTGGTAAATGCTGCCCTTTTGGTCTAGGCTGGTTGGTTTTTTGAGGAGCCCTTTCTTCACAGGTGTTATTGTTCACTTTATAGGCCTATTGTTTGGCTGAAAGGTGATCTCTTGGAGGGGGTAATACTGAATATTAATACAATCTTTTGACAAATGCAAAAAGGCAATCTGTGTGCTAAGCACTATGTATGCTAGGCACTTAGAAGGTAGTGTTGGGAGGAAAAAAATCCCGATCCAAAAGTTGGATTCACTTTACTAGGAAAACAAGCAATTACAAGATAATTTTAGATAGCGAGGGTCATATAAAAGTTTCACTAGGGCAATCAGGTTTCACAGAGTAGAATGTTTCTCTGATTAGAATGTTTCTTAGAGAAGTAAATTTGAAAATTAGGATTTATACAGAAAATTTGAAAAATAAAATCCCAGAGCAAAATCAGATGTCTGTTAACATGTTGATAGATGTCCTATTTTTTTGTTCCATAAAATGATTTTAAAAATCATATTAGACTGCTGAATAGTCTCATTTGTGCTAAGCAAACATCAGGAAGAGGGCCAAGGGAATGGAGCTTTCTTTTTGCTTGCAGTAGTATTTTCATGTATTCACAGCTTAGCTATGTAATTAGTGAACGTTTCCCTAAGAGCAAGTTTTATTTCACTTGCATTTGAGGCTCACCAGACCTTTAGCTATTGAGGACTTTCTTCTGATGCTGATCTGGATTTAAAGAGTTAGTTTTAAGGAAATCTGAATTTCATGCATAGGGCATCTATATTCCCATATCCATCTACACCTCTATCCATCTATTCAATTTTGTTTCAATTGTAATTTGGTATATTCTTTCATGCAACATTTTTGCTAAAACAACGATTTCCAATGAAACAATTTAGATACCTCGTGTACTCGTAAGGAGCTCTGGTGGGCGGTGGTTAAAGCATTCCTCTGCTAACCAAATAGCAGTTGGAATCCACCAGCCGCCTTGCGGGAGAAAGAGGAAGCAGTTTGCTTCCGTAAAGATTCGCAGCCTTGGAAACCCTTTGAGGGCAGTTTTACTGTGTCCTGTAGAGTTGCTGAGTCGGAAAACTCGATGACAGTGGGGTGGTGGAGTGCACTTAAGTCACCAAAGTTTCATGCTATTCTCTGGAAAGACACGAAATACAATGTCACTGGAACATTTTCATTTTCCTTGTAATTTGTACCGTCTAGTTTAGAAATGGGTACTTCTGATACATGAACGTCGTTCAAATTTTAAACACCATGAATTAAAGTATTCTTTTCGAGGGATTGCATTACATAAGTTCTTTTGGGAGGCCATCTTGTACTTGGCGGAAAGGAATAGCAGGACAGAACTAGGAGTTCACCACCACCTTTCCCAAAAGGTCTCGAGGAAAGAACGAAAAATCGGGACACGTTGGGCGACGTACCGCGTCACTGGGAGGGCGCGGTGCTTTGAGGTTACCAAAGTACAACCGTTGCGGGGTCGGCTAAGGTCTTGGCCGTTCCTACCGACCCAGACTGGCTACCTTCAATGAGATCCTGTCTCCCTGAGGCGGAGTCCTCGGTGGCGCTCAGTGAAACCAAAGCCCGAGTACAACGAAAGGTTAGGGCAAAACCCTAGCCGGCTTGGAATCCTGCTCCGGTCGCAGTGAGCAACCGGCCAGATTTAATTGTTTGATCCTGAGTACCCTACGTAGTCCGAGAGCGACGCCTCAAACTCAACCCCTATCTCCGAAGCGGAAGTGTCCCTTAGGAAGAACATACTACCCCTTTTAGAGGGATCACGTTGCTAAAGCATAGAATTTGAGGGCGTTTTCTGTTCAGAACACTTAGGCTCCAAACTTTCTGCCCATTGCATAGATGAACATGACTTGGGCTTGGCGCCAGCTGTATTAAGAAGTAATGTTCCAAATGTTTCCTGAGGTTGACCAGGCGAGGTGTTTATGCCCGTAACAAAAATGGCGTCCGGACGTCTTAACGGGGTAGAGTCACGTGTTCTCAACCTGGCTGAAGGACAGTATGGCTTCAAGTGACAAGAGGATATTATTATTATTCACTTCCGGGTGAGACCAATCGGGCGCCATCTTGTCTTGTTCGTGAAGAAGTAGAAGCATCGAACGGATTGAAGTAGGTATTGCAGGAACGGTGGCAACAGCGGTGTTCTGCAACTGGAGTAGGTAAGTGATGGACAATAGTTACGCGTGAGGAACTGCCGGGTTATTATGACCGTCTTTGGTTTGGGTGGCTAAGGTACCATAACTTAAACACGTAAGATGCGTGCGCTGCTTGGCGCGACCGCTGGAACCTCACCCCCTTAAAGTGGCGGCATCTGCCTGACTTGGTGGACCAGAGCCATGCTCTCAATGTAAAGGAGATAATACTTTTAAAGAGAGTGATCACAGCCCTTTCCTCTAACCACAAGAGTTTCCTCTGGGAGGAGAAGGTACTAATTGTTGGGTTCCTGACTGGCCGTTAAGCACTGCGCGTGCGTAGTGGGCACCCTTTTATGGGGAGGGGAAACGCCAGGCGGGGTAGAGGAGGCGGGGCCCCCTTTCTCCCCCCCCCCCCCAAGTTTATATAGTGTAGTATTTGAGC